TGAGCCTAAGGGGCGCCACCCCGACTGTGAAGTGCAGAGCCTTCCATTTAACGCTTAGTGGAGCGGCTGAAATTTGGTATAACAGATTGCTACCTGGGAGCATTATAAGCTGGCCCTAGTTCAAGACAACATTCTTGAAGAGGTTCGCGGTGAGCAAAGAAGAAGAGACCCCCATCCAACGTCTCCAAAATATGAGACAAGCACACGGGGAGTCCCTAAAGAGCTTCTTATCACGCTTCACCGATGAGATGACGTACTGCGTACAAGTCACTGACCGAGAGGTACTATCCGCATTGAGGGGAGGTCTGAACATGAATACCTTATTCTGGAAGGACGTGTAGAATCAAGACCCCACCACCTATGATGCCCTACTCGAAATGATGAGAAGGGCGATTATCAATGAAGAATTGATTGAGCATAGGAACAGGGTAAGTAGAGGCCTCCCACTTCCTCAAAGACAGCGCGGTAGAGGCCCGACCTCCCACCTGATGGGCTACCAAATGAATCAGGCCAAAAATGAAAATTCTGGCCAAGCACTTGCCACCACCACTTTGAATGTGGTTCCTACCTTGAGATATGAAGATATCAACCCGATCACTGACCCCCATCAGATGGAGGCCCAGCAGGGACCCCGTCGGGAGAAAGGTAGAGGTCGAGGTTTAGGACCTAGAAATAGGTCAAATCCGAACCCCCAGGATACTGTGTGCACCACAGGTTCTACGGGTATGGCACAGCAGATTGTAGAGACTATGCACACTGCTGCCGATAGGAACCCGCTAGGGACAAACATGATTCGTCCCAGGCGAACAGGCCCCCGTCCAGGCACGACAACTGACGTGGGCGTGAGGAGACCGCTCCCCGTCAAAGGGATGTATCCCCACGACGAAGAGAGTATGATGTAGAGAGGCCCAGGGAAGGGCGTAGGCATCGAAGAAATCGGCAAGCTCAAGATGAGGCCCCTATCCATAAGGTGGATACCATATTCGGAGGCCCGTATGTTGGCGATGAAACACGAAACGCCAAAAGGAATTACGCTCGGGAGGCTAAACACCCCCCTTTGACAAGCTACATTGTGGATAGTAGCTCCCGAAGAAACCAAGTTCCACCCATTGTCTTCACCCCGGAAGACGCCGAAGGAGTTCATTACCCCCATTGTGATGCGCTTGTGGTGAGGGTTGTCATAGCTCGGAATGGGCTCAAACGAATGTTAGTTGACAACGGTAGCTCCGTCAACATTCTATTCGGATCCGCCTTTTTGACAAGATGATATTGGATCATCAGTTGACGCCCACCACCACTCCATTGTACAAATTTACCAGAGATAGTATCATTCCGAGGGGAAAGATAACACTTGCAGTGGAGATGGGAGAATCCCCACAAACGATGATGAACTTCATGGAGTTCCTCATTGTCGACAGCCGGTCAGCTTACCATGGAGTGTTGGGCAGACCAGCCCTAAAGGAATTGGGAGCAGTCACATCCATCCACCACCTATGCATGAAATTCCTGACAGAAAATGGGGTAGCAACGGTGAGAGGCGACCAAAGAGGCTCGAGAGAGTGCTATCTAAGCTCCATTAAGAAGGTAGAGCCCTGGGACGTCCATGTAATCGTAGCTGATGTGGTCATGGCTAATGTCCCAGGTGATGCTCCCACCGAACAAGAAGATGTTGATATGATCGACGCACCGCCTAATCCGAAGGCGCTGGTCATTGATGAGATTGACCCCCGTATAATGGAACATGAGCCCCAAGCATCCCCAGTAGAGGAACTTGAGAGCTTCTCGGTAGACCCCTGAGACCCATCAAAGGTGCTGAAGGTAGGCAAATGCCTATCCAACATTCTGAAGGAAAAGATTAAGGATTTTCTAGGCAGGAACCTTGATGTCTTCGCTTAGAGACATGAGGACATGGTAGGCATAGACCCTAAGGTCAGCTGCCACCATCTAAAAATCGATCCTAAGGTTGCCCCGCATAGACAAAAAAAGAGAGCCCTTAATCCTGAGAGGTATGAGGCCCTAAAGGAAGAAGTTCAGAAGCTCATCCAAAATGGCTTCATCAGGGAGGCAACCTACCCGAAATGGGTCTCCAACCCGGTTTTAGTAAAGAAACACAACGGCAAGTGGAGGGTGTGCATCGATTTCACCAACCTCAATAGAGCTTGCCGGAAAGACAGCTTTCCAATCCCAAGGATCGACCAACTAGTGGACTCCACGGCTGGGCACGAGTTGTTGAGCTTTATGAATGCATACTCCGGCTACAACCAAATTTCCATGCACCCGATCGATGAAGAGCACACCTCTTTCATTACGGACCGAGACCTCTATTGTTATAGAATGATGCCCTTCAGGTTGAAAAATGCCGGAGCAACCTACCAAAGACTCGTAAACAAGATGTTTATGGACCTCATTGGCAAAACAATGGAGGTCTACGTGGATGACATGCTAGTAAAAAGTTTGGAGGCTGAGGACCACATAACGCACCTCAACAGCACTTTCCAAATCCTAAGAAGGTATAGGATGAGGCTCAACCCCCTCAAGTGTTCCTTTGGGGTAGCCTCCGGCAAGTTCTTGGGATACATGGTTAACCAACGAGGAATTGAGGCCAACCCCGAGAAGATTGAGGCTCTATGCAAGATGAGGTCCCCCCAAAAGCCAAAGGAGGTGCAAAGTCTTACCGGGCAAGTGGCCGCACTTAGCCGCTTCGTCTCCAAAGCTACAGACAAAGACCTCCCATTTTTCAAGGTGCTGAAGGCTAGAAAAAAATTCCAGTAGACTGAAGAATGTGAAGAGGCCTTCCAATGCTTGAAAAGGCACATGGGGTAGGCCCCTCAGGCCCCTCTCACAGTAGTACCTATTGAGCACATCCTCCTGCCTTCGATCGAGGCCCCTACTGTAATGTGGATTGCTAGAACTCCCACTTGGATGCAGCCAATCATAGCATACCTCAAAGACCAAGTAATGCCAACCAATAAGAATGGGGCTTACAAGCTAAGAAGGAGGTCAGCCCACTTCCTCTTCATTGATGATATTCTCTACAAGAGGAGCTTCTCCTCCCCACTCTTACGGTGCGTCGGAGGAGAAGAGGCTACCTACATATTAAGAGAAGTCCACGAGGGCGTGTGCGACAACCACTCCGGAGGTCTATCTTTGGCACAAAAAATATTGAGGCAGGGGTACTACTGGCCTACCCTAAAGCGGGATGCCCTCAAGTTTGTATGAAAATGCGACAAATGCCAGCGCTTCTCTCCTGTGCAAAGACAGCCATCGCAGGATTTGACCGCCGTGTCCAGCCCCTGACCTTTCTCAAAATGGGGTGTGGACCTCATAGGTCCCTACCTAAGGGTAGAGGAGGGGCAAGTTTTGCAATTGTGGCCAATGATTACTTCACAAAGTGGGTCGAAGCTGAACCACTGGCAAAAATCACTGAAACCAACACCTCCAAGTTCTTATGGAAAAATATTATTTGCCGGTTCGTAATTTCCTCCTCAATTGTCTCAGACAATGGCAAACAGTTTGACAACAAAAAGGTTAGAGAATTGTGCGAAGAGCTCGGCATAAAGAAGTATTTCTCCACACCTCACCACCCACAAGGAAATGGCCAAGTTGAGGCCGTGAACAAGACAATCAAGCACGTCCTAAAAAGGAAGCTTGATGTATCAAAAGGGACCTGGGTTGATGAGCTGCCCCAAGTCCTTTGGGCGATCTGAACCACCACCAGGACCCCAACAGGGGAAACGCCCTTCCTCATGGCATATGGAACTAAGGCAATGAGCCCCGTGGAGGTCGGACTTCCATCCTCAAGACGTTTGCACTTCAGTGAGATAACCAACGATGAGCTTCGGAGGTTCGACCTCGACTTCATCGAAGAAAGAAGAGATGACTCCCAATTGAAGCTCGGCACATATCAGAGAAAGATGTCAAGGTACTTCAACTCGAAAGTCAAGAAGAGGTCATTCCGAATCAACGACCTTGTACTCAGGAGGGTCTTCCTGTCCTCAAAAGAACCTGGTTCCGGTTCTCTAGGCCCAAACTGGGAAGGTCCATACAAAATCAGAGAAGAGGTTTGACCTGGAACTTACTGGATTGAAGACATGAACGGCAAGGCACAACCCCGTCCATGGAACATTGAACACCTCAGAATCTATTACCAATAAATGTACTATCTTGCTGGATGACGTTTCCCAGCCTTTGTAACATTTCTATGGTTTAATAAAATTCAGTGATTAAATTAACGTGTTGTACTACCTCGTCACCTCGGAGGAGAGGGTCGCGTCCCACCTCTGGGCCACCTCGCTTGAACTCCGAGGCACTAGCACATGCCTCCCTTTGGCCAGACTGAACGTCAAGGGGAGAAGTCTCAGCATGGCTGCACCATCCACCATGTTTGGGATGCGTCGTCACCTCGGAGGAGAGGGTCGCGTCCTACCTTTGGGCACCTCGCTTGAACTCTGAGGCACTAGCACATGCCTCCCTTTAGCCAGGCTGAACACCAAGGGGAGAAGCCTCAGCATGGCTGCACCGTCCATCATGTCTGGGATGCGTCGTCACCTTGGAGGAGAGGCTCGCGTCCCACCTCTGGGCCACCTCGCTTGAACTCTGAGGCGCTAGCACATGCCTCCCTATTGGCCAGGCTGAACGCTAATGGGAGAAGCCACCTCACGTGAAATCTGAGGCTCATACAGTTATTACGCTTAAGTAAAGTTCATTTGCTTAAATCCGAGGCTCATACAGTCATTATGCTTAAGTAAAGTTCATTTGCTTAAGTCCGAGGCTCATACAGTCATTCAATCCAGTTGTTTAAAGTGATTGAAGTTAAGGTACCAAGTTAAAGTTATTTAGTTAGTGCTTCTGTCAACTTTTAAGTTCATTTGCTTAACGAGACGCGTACACTTGGATAAAGAAACAACAATGAATGAAAAAGGCATTATATTGATCGTCAATAAGGATTACAAAAGTGGGCCTCAGGCCATTACATTCGAAAGACTGAAAAGAAAACTAATCTAAGCCTGGGTAGACGGGGGAGGAGCCTCAGTACTTGGGGCTTCGGCAACTTGAGCATCGACATTTATCTCCTCTAGCTCAGCTACTTCATTACCCTGCACCTCCTCAGCAGGGGTCTGAGGTACCTCGTCCACGAATTCAGACCTGAGTTAAGTCAGATCCAAATTGGGATACAGTTCCTCTGCCCGCTCCATCACCTCAGCATAGGCAAAGTTTTCCAGTAAACACTGAAGCTCCTGTTAAGCCTCCTCTCTTACATGGGAGGCATCATCCACATACCACTTGATTTGGGTTTCCAAGAACTGGTAAGCCTCTTGGGCACCCGCCAAGGAGAGATTTGCCTTCTCCAGGGCCTCGGCGGTCACTTTCTGGTGCTCATTGGAGACCTCCACCTTCTTTGTCAGGGAGGTCACCTCGCACTGCGACTCATAAACCTCCTTCTTCAAAGCCTCAATTTGGGCCAAGGCAGACTCTAGCTTGGTCAATTCTTCAAGTTTTTGGGCCCTGACTTCTTTCGCCTCGGCTCTAGCTGCCTTCAACTCCTCTGCGAGGGAGGCCGTCTTCTCCTCCGAAGACTGGGTCCTTGTCTGAAAATCACTCAGGGCCTCCCTGTATTCAAGTGCGAGGCCAAAGGTTCTAACTCTTTGGCTCACCAAAGCCCTCGTCAGGTCGGTGGCATCGCAGGAGGAGGCATGCAACTGCCACTTGTCCGTCCAGAACCGGTAGAAGCTTTCTGGGACGCTCCGGACCTCCTAGGGAAGAGCGTCCACCAAGGCTGGGGCCAAGGTCTCCTCCCTTCCAGCTAGGAAGCTTGGAGACTTCCCCTTCTCTCGAACAGGCTTCTGTTTTGCTGCCTCCTCCTTAGCGGCTCTCTTCGCAGCGTCCTCTCTGGCCTCCTCAGCCTCGGCCTCTCTGACCATCTCTATTTTGATAGCTTTGGAAGCAGATGCGAGAAGCTTCGACTCGCCTGTTGATTTAGCCTCGTGGGACACTGATGTCCCAAATTTCCCTGACGAGCTGGTGATGTGCACCAGCTTCCTCCTCTTCGCCTCCTCCGGGACTTTCTCTTTCCCCCGAGGCTCTTTTAGCTTCTCCTGCCTCTGGGGAGCCCCCTCTTCGGAAGCCTTTGGTGTGCTATCCTTGGAAAGGCGTTCCACCCTGTCTTGGACCTCCTTGGCCCCACTGGACCCCAGCTTCAGGGGCCTCGCCTTGACAGTGGTTGTGGCCTTCAGAATTGTAGCCATGTCCGGAGCTGGGTACTCCCTCTTCTTGAATTTATCTTCATAGCACGTCAGGTCAGCACATCAGTATCCAAACAAAAGAACAAGAAAATTTACAACTGTAGGAGCTTCGTACCTCTGGAAGCCATCAGTCTAAAAATCCAGGAAGTAGCGACTCCTGTCGATCAGGTGGTCAAAGTGGCGGAGCTTCCGAGGCCTCTTATAGATGTCCTCTATCACCTCGAACTCTTCCCTACTGAGCTCGAACCTCGTACTACAATATGCAATGGAAGCCCCAACAGTTAGAAAATTTCAAGTGTTCATTGAGAAGTACAAGCAGGGGCTTGGAGACTCACGAGCTTCGTAGTACTGGGTCGGCACTGTGCAAGAAAGGGCCTTGTCCCCCTCACTGCCTGCCACTTTCCTCGCACCCAGAACTAGGACTCCTTCCACCTCTTGATGGAGGAAGGAAGTCCCACCACAAAGGGTGCGTGAGCCCCCCAAGGTGTAAGGTAATACCACCCCCTGGACTCCTTCCCTATGAGCCGATGCTGGAAAAGGGTCATGAATACATGAAGAGGCATGTCCTCCCCAAGTGACACCTCCTTCCACAGGAAGTACGAGCCGACCAACTGGCTCCACCCATTTGGCAGAACCTGGGTCGGCGACAACATGAAATTCCTTAGCACTGCCCTAAAGAAGGGGTGCAGAGGAAGACTCTTACCTACCTTAAACAGGTATTCACTGACTACCACACAACCCAGCCTCGGATAGCAGGCTCGCTCGTTCGGCTCGGGAACTAACATTTCTATGGTATGGGGGACACTGTATCTCCCCCTGATCTCCCCCAACCTCTTCCATGTCATACTTGAAGGCACCCTAGACGCCCCCCACTCTTCCGTATAATCTACTGGGTCCTCGGTCATGGCATACCTATCAACCTCGAAATCCTCCTTGTGACTGACCCCATAATCCAACGAAGCTACCGTTATCAGCTCCCTACCCGAGGTGGACTCCATTTCACAATATTAACACAGAAATAAAAGGGCTCTTATAAGAATAATACCTAAGGGAGGAACTACGCGAACGGAGATAGGCCGGAGAATGAAAGAACACAGTCTCGACACCGGAATGTTCAAGATTTCAGAGAGAATCAGATTGCAAATTTTCAAAAGTCCTGAAAAATGGGATTTTCTCACCTTTTATAGAGGTCCAGGACGAACCCCAGCCGTCAGATCGAAACTCAGTCAATCTGAACCCTCCATTGTAGATCAAATCCGAGGCGTTGAATTCAAATGGTTTTTCAAACCTACGCCTCAGATTCAAGCGTGCCTCCCACGCACCCCTTCCAACCCGTCTACTTCTAGAACCTCCAGCTGTCCTCATAATTGTGTTTTTAATTCGACAGCAGCAGGCGCCTTGGAAGTCGTACGGGTCAACCACTTTTCCTCGAAAACAAGCACAAAACATCAAATCATTGGCACAGCTATCGACGCAAAATCATTCCCATTGAGCCTCGGCTTCAACTTCAACAACCAGCCAACAAGCCTCGCAGGTTCGATTTCCCAACCACCTCGGCTTCCTCTTCAACATTCAGCCAACAAGCCTCGCAGGTTCGGTTCCCCAACCACCTCGGCTTCCTCTTCAACATTCAGCTAACAAGCCTCGCAGGTTCGATTCCCCAACCACCTCGACTTCCTCTTCAACATTCAGCCAACAAGCCTCGCAGGTTCCGTTTCCCAACCACCTCGACTTCCTCTTCAACAATCAGCCAACAAGCCTAGCAGGTTCCGTTTCCCAACCACCTCGACTTCCTCTTCAACAATCAGCCAACAAACCTCGCAGGTTTGGTTCGTCAATCACCTCGGCTTCCTCTTCAAGATTCAGCCAACAAGCCTCGCAGGTTCCCCCAATCACCTCTGCTTCAACTTCAACAATCAGCTAACAAGCCTCGCAGGTTCCCCCAACCACCTCGGCTTCAACTTCAACAATCAGCCAACAAGCCTCGCAGGTTCCGTTTCCCAACCACCTCGGCTTCCTCTTCAACATTCAGCCAACAAGCCTCGCAGGTTTGGTTCCCCAACCACCTCGGTTTCCTATTCAACAATCAGCCAACAAGCCTCGCAGGTTCGGTTTCCCAACCACCTCGGCTTCTTCTTCAACAATCAGCCAACAAGCCTTTGCAGGTTCGGTTTTCCAACCACCTCGGCCTCATCTTCAACACAGCCTCGGTCTCTTCATCGTTCACCTCCAGCAGCACATCTCTAACTCCAACCATGACATAAATATCTATACTTGGACTTGGGAGACTATTATTTGGGGTTCAAAAATTCCTTCAATTTTTACTTCATTAAAGTCCACGCATTACATAAATGACCATACTTGGATTTGGGGGACTATTGTTACGTATTGTCATACTTAGCCAACCTACCTGGGCCAATGGCCCACTCAGGCCGAACCACGTGGCACTCCAGTCGAGGTGATATATATTGCCGAGGTGGGCTATGACCGAAGCCCTTCAAGCCGAAGTCCACTAGCCGAGGCACCCTTTTACCGAGGCCTGTGAATGTAACCAAGGTCCACATGCTGAGGCCTATGAGCCGAAGCCATGATGTTGAAGCTGGTTGAAGTTAGCTGAAACCCTCAAGTGGAAGTATTGTATGAAATGGCCGAAGCCCCGAAGCTGATGTAGGAGCCTCCGAACCACAAGGGAGCATCCTCCATGGTCACTTCTCCCAAGAGATCGCCTACACAAAGATCTTATTCGAATGATTGATGGAACGTTTGTCATAAGCATAAAGGTCAAGCCTTGTTACTAGTATGGAGGCTCTGCACAAGCAATAAATGCGCAGCAAGCTAGCAAGTCAAGCCACATGTCTAGGATAAGATGTTTGAATAGAAGAGATGAGGGCACATGCCACCTCATCCAAGAGCTCCCATTTCACATGTATCACTATAAATACTTCCTTTGTGTAACATCAAAAGGCTAATGCAAGAATCAATACAAATAACTACACTTTACTCAACTCTCTCTCATTTACTTGCAATACACAAATCGAGTTTGTGCACATTTACTTTTACATTTATGAACACCGGTTGGTAATTATTGTACAATCGGATCACGAACAACCCGCCGGATTCCAAACGTCACCGTCCCGCGTCGTTGGGCTACTCCCACGCCCTTTGAACCGCTCGTTTTAGACCGTCCACGTGTATAAGCGTGTTGGACATTCGCCCACTGTGCGCGGGTGGGACCGGCATCTGTTGGCAACATTTTTTGGGATCAACATAACTCATATCGTTGGACTACTGACTTGAAGCTTATTTAAACCCTAAAAATTGAAATACGTTGAAAATCGGCTTTGCAATTAAATTAAAAAAGTTTGATAGAGAAATAATATTTCATCATGTATATCAGAGAATATATTTTATAATAGTAGTATGAGGTCATTACATAGATTTTACACTTTTCAAAATTAAATTTTTTTATAGAAAAATACACCGAAAGAAAATTATAAAATTTTGACTTGTCTTGTTGGAAATTTTTGTCACTAGATTAAAAAAAAAAAAATTCCTTCAAACTTAATTACTCGATATATTCAGCTTTACGTTGATGCAAGATATTCAACGTCCATCATGAAATTCATCGGCCAACAACGCATAATTGTTGTTCACAACAACCTTACTATGTGATTATGGTCACCACTAAATAATCATTGACAATAACAGACTTTGACATTGATTGTTGAAATTATAAATAATTTTGTTCATTATAATTCAATACAAAATAATTTAAAGAGTTTAATTATCGATACAATTATCATGTTAATATATAATAATTATATACATTTCAGATATTTATAAATTTTAACCTCCTTTTATCGTTAACATACATTATGTTCTAGGATTTGTGGATTGACTTACGAACTCGAATTTTTGTGGTGGTGGGGTTCTGAATACATGTGATACTTATCTCGATCTTTGACCCTTAATCTTTTATATTTTTCAATCTAATATCTAGGTTGATTTTTAAAACAATATTATTAATCATGTTCATTGTTATATAATCATACTTGTAACATATATGTCATGAAAGCATTTTAACATAACCATTCTTATCTTCCTTAATTTAGTCATCTGCAGTATAAAATATTTCATTATTATATGCTATTGTAAAATTCAAAATGTACACTCCAAGCAAGATTGTTGCTCATTCAATTTCACAAAACACAAATCACTATGTGAAGTATACTATACTTATCAATGGGATTGCATAGAAATCAGCATTTATGTAACTAATGTATATCTTCTTTTAGAAAATTTATTGAAAATCAAGCAAAATACATAAGACCAAAATACAATGTTAGATGTTGATTATTTACAAGCGATTTATTAAGAAAACTAATTTTTTTTTCATAAAATAAATTGACCATCTACACGACATTCATATAAAAAGTAATCTATAATAAAAAAGAAATAAGAAATATGAAAATACTCAGCGACGAAATGCTAGACAAGTTCTTCATATACAATAGACAACTTTCCATCACTTAAATAATTATTCATATATTATCATATTATATATTTATTCGGTTTACCCAATTTTTATAATCGAACTAGTGAGTAAAAAATGATATTTCATCGTTGATCATTATGACGAAATATAACTAATTAGACACGATTTAGTGCCACTTTGACATAATTTTTTGAAATTCAAAAATTGACTTTGAGATTGGGAAACTGTTAGTCCGTTAGGATAAATTTTTTAATGTAATTTATATTATTAGAAGAACTTTTCGAGAACACTAATATAAAGTAATTTTCTCAAAAAATTATTCTATGAAAAGTAGAAACAAAATTAGGTGCCTGTTTGTCACCTTTCAAATTTTTTAATGGTTTGTTACAATATCATTTTCCACCACACATTTACACGATAAAATATTCTCCACACAAACCAAAAATTTTTTTTAATCACACATTCTCTAAAAGATACTATTCAAAACTCTTTATTTTTTCAAATAATGGAGACAAACACGAGCTAGAAGTCCTGTCAAATAACCTATTTATAACCAATCGACTTAGAGTATTTTTAAGAGATTCTTTTAATTATGAAATGCTTTCTATTTTATAGAGTCAACTCTTAAAATTA